GTGAAATATGCTAAAAAAGAATTTACTGATGAATGTAAGAAGATTCATTAACAACTGATTAATTCTATATATAATTGATTTTTATGTTAAGAACTGCCAAAGCGGCGCGCTGCAAAGAGAAAAATTAGTGATGGTAAAATAAACTCGACAAATCTCATTGATCGACTGAAGACTGTATCTCTCCTTCCAAAATATGATTTTCTGAATTTCTTGACATATCCTTCAGGCAACCAACCCTTTCTCCCCATCTCTCAAGAGAAAACTGCTTAAAGAAATATATTTCCTGGGATAATACTTCAGGGTGATTCGTGAAAGAGGCTTAGTCGTAATGCTGAATAGATTGCACTCCAGGGAGAGTGCTTTACTGATAAGGGGAGGCGACTAAAAGAGCTGATGGGAGAGATGAATAAAGACATGGTGATGAGTGTGGTCCTCAGATAATTAACTCCAACAGTGAGCGGTGTGGGACCCAAGTGGCTTCAACATATATGAAGGATAGAAAGTCCCCCCAAAATGTCCAACGGCAATTTGTGAGTGAAGTGGGGGAGGGAAGAGAGGTGAGGAGGTGGGGGGGGGGGGGGGGGGGGCAGATGGAATCACCATCACTCACATGTGTACTCATGTTGAAAGGAAGGGAGGGCATGTGATCTGAGGTGTTCCAAGATCAAGCAATTAGGGAGATATCTCAGTTGTGTGCGTGTGCATGCGCGTGCGTGCGTGTGTGTGTGTGTGTGTGTGTGTGTGTGTGTGCGTGTTAAAACTGGAACTTGAAGTAACTCCCTCTACATTCTTAGCAAATATAAGATTTTATTAAGATACGAAAGTAACACACAAGATTGCACGTTACAATCGAGTTGTCGGAACATCAGTGGTAATGAGATAATGAACAACTTGAGCTTAATAATACGAGGAAAAAATTATTTGGTGAATGTGTCGCTATTATTAGAACGAGAACATCAGAACATAAGGAAAACAACGATAAGTATATGACCTGACCTCATGACCTTATTCTTATCAGTCAAAAGGTTTATTACCACAGAGACATGACAAGCTTAGGGTAGTTCTCAATTTACGCGATGGTAATGGAAAAAATACTGTTACTGTGAGAAGTTCGTCTACTATCCTCAAGTCTATCCGCATTTATTTACTGCTGGAGGGGTCAGTGGATGTCCCCAACCTTGGATGCTAAGACTAAGTAAACAAGAACACCATGTGGCTGGCTCTGTACTCCACCACCTTCACTTCCCCCAATCAAAAACAGGTGTTTATTCACAGCTAGGAACCTAACTTAACCTAACTCAAGGTTACCTGACAACACATCATAAACTAACTTTATCTTGGTAAACCTAACCTAATTTAACGTAGGGAAACCTAAACTTATATGACTTGACCTAACCTAACCTAACTTGACCTAATTTAACTATCATAACTTCCCATATTTATCTAATCCAACTATCCAGTTTAGCGTCGTAATTATCTGAATATGATCGTAACATACCGAACGATTTTGGTCACATTACTCTAGGTGATGTTTTAATGCTGCAATTATGTTATGTTGTCATGGAATAATAATCAGAAGTGAAAACGGAGAAGGAAAATGTAAATAAAGTCACAGTAAGAGTGATAATGATAGATCACTGCGGAATGAAATGATAAAGAACATGGTACAAACTATACCGCGAGTATCACAGGTATGAGAGATGTGTCGAGCAGACCCATCTGTTGTAGAAGATCGTCCTGTGGTCATTTTACTCGGGAGTCTGGCTCTCCTGTTGCTGCACCCTTAGTGGCACGCCTGATGACTCACTATGCGCCGACACAGCAGGTGCCCCACGTTAGTCGAATGTTTACAACTGGGTTTTCCAAATTTCCAGACACAGAATTTCGAAATACGGAACGTCATTAGCCCTATTTCAAGGCGGATATTGTCTGTATCAACCAAATGAATGTCATTTGCATTTTGAAGTGAATTTCGGAATTCCAAGGAAAATTTATTTTTTTCTTGTGTGTGATACTACCATCATCTATATAACGATCAAGCAATATGCGTTCAGTTTTTAACGAAGAATTCAGAATGTTAAAAGAAAATATAAGGATCCTTAGAAAAATCTATATATGCAGTAATTGTTTTATCTGCCAGGTATGTTCTTCCCACAGTACAGTCTCTCTCCCCGAGATAAAAGAGTCATTAAAATCAAAGGGGTCCGTCTCCACCACTAATACCCACTCAGAGGGATGGAGGCTTACCGCTGATGAGGGCAACACTCCAGTACTCCTCTTGTATAAATATCAGTCCTCTCTACTTTCATTATCTCCCACCGTCAGGATGCACACTGCCTCATCATGAAACACACTTCGTCATTCGATCACTGAACGATCTTCATCTTGTTGGAAGTTCAGTTTAACACATATGAGGTAGACATTCAGGTATTGAATATCTCAATCGGACTGGCGCGTTTATTGCCCAATTCACTTTCTGCACGACTCTCTCTCGCTGTGAACCTCCAACCATTCTGTTTCATTATCCATTCGGTTGTAATTCAATATTTTGTGTGTTGTCAAGAAAAAAGTTCCTTTTTTTTCTTTAAGGCAACCCGATATTATGCATATCAGGGTGTGTAGCCCCACACAGCACCCCTACACAGCACCTCACACACCCCTACACAGCACCCCACACAGCACCCCTACACAGCACCCTACACAGTACCCCACAAAGCACCCCACACAGCACCCCCACATAACACCCCCACACAGCACCCCACACAGTATCCCACACACCACCCCACACAGCACCCTACACAGCACCCCTACACAGGACCCCGCACAGCACCCCACACAGCACCTCACACACCCCTACACAGCAACCCACAAAGCACCCACACAGCACCCCTACAGCATCCCTACGGCATCCCTACACGGCACCCCACACAGCATCCATAACACCCCTACACAGTACCCCACACAGTACCCACACACCACCCACACCACCCCACATAACACCCCTACAGAGCACCCCCCACACAGCACCCCACACAGCACCCCACTACCCCACACACAGCACCCTACACAGCACCCACACGGCACCCACACAGCACCCCACATCTAGTTATTAAATGTCTTATTTGTGTCACTTATGTTACTTGTATATTATTTGTAATTCGAAACCCATTCCCCAAATATGTAACTGTATATTTTCAGCCTTCTGGCTGCCAAGCTCTTTCAATAAACCGTTAATTATTATTATTATTATTACATAACACCCCACACAGCACCCTACACGGCACCCCACACAGTACCCTACACAGCACTCACACACCACACACACAGCACCCCACATAGCACTTCTCACACCTCATACAGCACCCCCACATAGCACCCCACAACACCCCACACAGCACCCCCACACACCCCACACAGCACCCCACACACTATCCCACACACCACCCCACCACCCCACACAGCACCACACACACACCCCACACAACACCCCACACAGTATCCCACACAGCACCCCCACACAGCACCCACACACACCCCACACAGCACCCCACACAGTATCCCACACAGCACCCCACATACACACACCTCACACACAGCACCCCACACAGCTACACAGCACCCCCACACAGCACCCCACACAGTATCCCACACACCACCCCACACAGCACCCTACACAGCACAATTGGAAGAGAAAGAGCGAGAGATCGATCCCTCGACAACAACTACCATGGATCGGTTTTCAAGGAAGCTAGAGATTAGAAAACAAAGTGGGGGAGAGAAACCATAAGAGGGAAGTTTAGACAGCAAAGACTTGTGCCATACCATGTCAAATGCTTTGGAGATGTCGGGGGCCACGACGAAAGTTTCCCCATAATCCCTAAGAAAGGATGACCAAAGATGGGTGCAGTAGGAGAGCAGATCACCAGCAGATCTCGCCCGACAAAAGAGAATGGCGTTCAAGGTGACGGAGAAATGAGAATTTAAGATAATTTCGAAAATTTTGGAGAGGGATGAAGTTAGGGCAATGGGCGACAGTTAATGGTCACCCTTCTTCGAGAAGGGTTGAACCAAGGCATGCTAACAAGAAGAAGGATAAGTTTGGGTTTTAAGGCAGAGGCGAAAAAGGCGAGCAAGCACAGGGGCCAGAGCTTCAGTACACTCCATCAGAACACGAGGGGGTATTCCGTCCGGTCCATGCACCTTACTCACATCCAACCTGGATAACACACCGGCAACCCTGCGAGTGGAGATTATAGGAAAGTGCATAGGTTCAGTAGGAGGAGCAGGGGTAGGAGGGATAGAGTGGGAATCGTCTAAGGTGGAATTAGAGGAGAAAAAGGTGCCAAAGAGATTGGCTTTGTCAGGGGGAGAGTTGGCTATAGAGTTATCAGGTCGGAAATGAGGAGGAGAAGAAGGGATGCAGAAGTTATTATAGATGCTTTTAGTTAAGGACCAGAAGGATTTACTAGAGGAAGAATTCGTCAGGACAGCGGTCTTTCTTTTTATAGAATTCCGCTTGGGCCTACGAAGAATAGCCTTACAACGATTCCTAGAAGTGATGAAAGAGGAGTGGGTAATAGGAGAAGGAGATAGTTTCATAGCTTGATATGCCCTATCTCTCTCCCTGCATGCAAGAGAGCAGGAGCGATCAAACCATCATTGTAAAGTGAAATTTTTGGTAGAAGATGGGATAAATGCCCTCATACCGCCCTGTATAACCCTAGCAAAGCTGTCAGCACATACCGAGGCGTCCCGAGTGGAAAAGCAACATTCATCCCAAGGAAAGTCGGTGAAGAATTCTCGCAAGGATTGCCAGCTTGCCCTCCGATAGTGCCATAGTTGACGTTTGGAGGTGGGTGGGGGAGGTGGTCGTGCCCAGTTTGATTTAATAGAAATAAGATTGTGATCAGAAGATCCTAAGGGGGCAGAAAATGAGTATGAATAGTGTGAGGGGTTAGAGGTAAAACAAAGATCAAGAATATTAACAAGTTGATCGAGTCGATCAGGAACACGTGTAGGGTTCATCTATTTCTCATGTTAACTTTCGTGTTAAACTGAACGATGCTGTATTTTGAACGATCTTTGTCACATGCAACTGCACATCTATCAATACTTTAGCTTAAGTTACTCTTTGATGTTTACGAAAAGTCATGAAAAATAGTCAGAAATGATATGCTTAAAATTTTTTTACAAAACGACACATTCATCCTTCACCTTCTAAGTTATAATGTTTTTGTTTTTTCATCACCCGAATATTTAAGTCCTGACGTTTTGTACCTTGATACTGTGTACAGTCTCTCATCTTGTCAAAACATGAAGACCTGAGGCAAGATTTCCCTTGTGATAGCTGACGTTCCATCCCGTCGCACTCTTTTCACATATATTTTCCTTTATAACAACTTTCCTAGATCTTAACTCAATTATTATTATTTTTCGGTGAGAATTACATTTTAAAGCATGTTAATATATATAATATATAGCTATATATTTTTTTCTTGGTGGTACGAATATTGTTGCACTAGAGGACAGTCAAAGATATTAACTGTACGTGAAACTAGACATTAAAATAAAACTAAAAATGTGAATAGATTTTAGTGGAATTCTTCGAAATTGGAGAGCCAGGACGGTGTTTGGAATACCTGTGTATCTTCCGCTTCTGAGGAAGAAGAATCAACAATTCCTCAGGGAAAGGGCTAGAAGACGACTGTATCCTCGACATATTTCTACAACACAGGATTTGTATTCGTCACTGGCAAGAAAAACAACAAAGAAAAACTAAAAAGTTTTTCATCTGCGCCAGAAGACAAAAATAAAAGAATAAGTTAAAGATTTTCTTCCTTGCCATCAAAGGGGAAACGTAGAAGGCGGGAAGGAGGCTTCAACAGGAGGAAAAAGAATTCCACAGCAGAGGAGCATCAGCGACAACAGTAACTGTATCAACAACAGCAGCAGCAGCAACAAGAGCAACACAGCAACAACAGCATTAGTAGGTATTGCAGCAGCAGCAATAACAAGAGCAGCAGCAGAGGCAGTAGCAGCGTCAATACTCAGTATCATTAACAACAATAGTATCAGTAATTACTACATCAACACCAGTAACAACACCAGCAACAGCAGCAACAACAACAACAAAACCAGAAGCAGCAACAACAACCACCCCAGCAGTGTCAACAACAGTGACTGCAAAAACACCATCAATAATAACTGTAATATCGTCAACAGCAACAGAAGCAGAAGCAACAAGCGGAACATAAGCGGCCTCAGCTAGGAGCAGCAGGATGACCCCCGCCAGCAGCTACTACTGCCTCACCTGCTGGGTCTTCTGGTCCTACTTCGGTAAGTATATTTCCTTGTCTGTTTACAAAATTATAGGATTTTCTTTAATCTCTATGACATACGTACAGCTTCAGGTATACTTGTGCTAAAATTTTATTCACATCTTTTGACGTTGAACTTCAGGTTTGGTACAAAGTCACTGACTCGAACACGTAGATAAGGCATATGAATAAATGAAGTCAAACGCAGTCATGATAAAAGTATCGAAGAAGGAGAGTAATAGATAACACTTTAATTTACATGGGAAAAGAACGCTTCAAGATCAAGTAGAAAACGATAATTTGTGGGGGTTACAGAGATCCCCATCACGCCATGAAAGAGGATAAAAAGATAAATCTTGAAAGATATGTTTGAAAAGTTTTCTGGTAAGATCTAAAATGGGTTCTAAATTAGACTTGAGGAGTTAGGAGACGGAAACGATAAGGGACAATTATTTAGGTATTGGAAAGTCATTAACATGTTGAAAAAAAAATGACTCGTATAAAATAAATATTTTGGTAAAGGAACTATCCTAAGATTTATACCTCAGAGGAATAAAGAAATGCATGTATAAGTTGAGTAGAAGTCTTATAGGTGGATGGTAGAGAATGATAGGTGTTCAAGGTTGGGCTCCTAACAATGTTTAGGTTCACTGATGGAGTTTAATAAAAATATCTAACGTGAAAGCATCTGACGCTGGTCGAACAACTGCAATCTGTCTATTCTGTGTGGATTTTTTCTAAGTTCGTTGAGCAAAATTCATCGATAAATGTATTGAAAACATTGTAACCCTAGAATTGTAAAATGAATCCACTTTCTCTTCATTTAGAATTCTTCTGTTAAAAAAAAGATTTAAACTAATATTTTTTGTCACAAAGGAAAAATTAATAATGGAACGAGTATTTTTTTTCTTAAAATTTTCACTCTTTCTTTCTTACCCGATAGCTTTATCCAATAAATTGGTACGAAGAAGACGCCAAGATCATATTAATTATCCCTTCCACTACGTTCAAGTACAAAGAGCCGCTCTGAAATGTTTTTATAATCTCAATCTTATTTATTGTATAGAGTGGCTGGTAGCTACAGTATCTCCTCCACCACTTTCACCATCTTCGGCACATTCCTCTTTTCTTATCCTTCTTAGTTACTCTGAATTGATTGATTGATTGTGGTAATTACTTCCCTGGTGACACAACCATCTCCCTCATCAATAATCCTTCCTTCTTCTTGACTATTTCTACTTAATGATAAGAGGATATTGTTTGGCATATTTACTTAAATTATCCTAATCTATACCTACCAATTCTTCCTCAGGGGAAACATGATACTGTTCTTCACAGTGATACAATAACCTTCAAAGCTAAGTCGTAAAATTGTGTCCCCCTAAATGTACACGTTCTCCTTCTGCCAGGTTAATATTTCATAAGAGCTGTGTGTGTGTGTGTGTGTGTGTGTGTACCTCACCTGTCCTCAACCTTTACGTAAATCTCTAATGAGACTGACTGTTCCTCCCCTTGTTCAGTCTGTACCTTTGCAGACTAACGTCACACACACACACACACACACACACACACACACACACACACACACACACACACACACACACACACACACACACACACACAAACATACAGAATGATGCAATTTGTGGCAAAAGAAACATTTGTTATTTTATATAATGTTGATATACAGTCATTAATCTTTCACCTCTCCTTCCCTCATTTTTTGCTCATACTCTTATAAAAAAATACTAATATTACCCACAGGTTTATGCTGTTAATAGTAACTTCATCTATGCCCCAAGATAGAGTTTATTTACTGTTTGTGATTTTTTTTTACAAAGAATGAATAAAAATTCTTTGGAACGTCACACTCATCTAACTCTGAGAAAACCAACTTATGTCATGCCACTCACATAAATTTGTTCTCTCACCAAGCTCAATCTCGTTCGAAATCTACCTCACGTGTCTTAGTCATTCTCACAAAAGCCTTAAAGAGGATATCTTGGCTTCACCCGCATCTTCAGTACCAGTAATAGGACAAATTTTGGTGTTCAATACGATTCTGGGGGTCATATTCTACTAGCATTTCGGGAGTAAGATTTCATGTATTATGGCTAAGGATAAACAGATATTTCTATTTTCTGCCTATAATGTGTTCTATAATAAAATATATATATACCTTAATAGATTTACAAATGTTAATTATAGCGCGCGCGTGTGTGTGTTTATTTCTTTGGGATATTGCCAACATTAACTTCTTATTTCTTGCTCTTGTATGGGATGGGAGTAGAGTGAAATACCAGGCTGAAGGATGAAATAAGTACAATATGTTTGCCCGGATGCCTCATAGATATTAAACTTCTCAGTAAGTGCACACACACACACACACACACACACACACACACACATACACACACACACACCCTGTTGGCTATTAAGTTGTATTTCCAGTACATGAATTCAATCTCATACCATTATTAGGCTTCAATAACAGCCGATGTCTTCTGTCTGTTCCTTTGGCAATATATTCTATCTTTTCAACTCTTTTTTTCTCTATTTCATCCCAGTTCGCTGACACACACATTTTCATCTTCTTGGTCCTCCTGCTATTCCTGCTTCTTCCATCGTTTATTTCTCTATCGATATCGCTTTATATATCTTCTTTCCTTCGTATCTTATACATCTAGTGCTAACACATAATTCCTATTCCTAAAGAAAATGCTATAATATCAATTTTGTATTCAGTGTTAGAACCCAACAGCCTGCCTTTCCTTGTTGAGCATAACCCTCACGCCTGGCCCGCCTACCAACCACACTATACTCTCGCTGTTCCAATTCTTCACCCCTTGCATGTATCATCAAATCAACCCAGAGATTCTTTTCATCTGCAGAATATCAAAGAAGTCACCTCATGTATTTCTAGTCGTCTGTTGATGTTTTACTCCCAATAATTCCATCTTTAAATGTTACTCCAGGCATTGTTTTCATTTAGCCCTACACGCCTGACCACGCCTATATACATGTTATCCTAATTCCATTTATTAACCCTAAATTCTTCTATTCGATTATCGTTTTTTTTTTCATCTCCTTGCCCTCTCCTCGCCTTGATGCAGGGAAGCTGGACACATTCTAATCTAATGCTTGATTCTTAACATTCAAAACACCCCCACACACACCCACACACACACACACACACACTAAAAACCCATCTCCAATGATGTGCTTCTCATCTCAATACCATGTACACATTTCCCACCTTTTCCCTTCACTCTTCACCCAGCCTTTTCCACTTTCCTTTCACACGCGTCACATTTTGTCCCTATAGCCCAATGTCCTCCCCTTCCATCCATCATTTTCCCTCTCGTGTGTCCTACATGCTGTTTCTTTTTGAGTCACGTCGCTTCCATCACTTTCATTCCCTTGTCTTTCTTTCCCCTTCTCTTGTCTTTTAACCTCTTCTTCTTCTTCTTGTGTTCCAATGACTTACACTTTCTCTACACAAGTCTTCTCTATTATTGTTGGTTTAGTTTTTTATTGTGATTGTTATCGTTTTATTATTGTTGTCTCATTTACTTCGTTATAATTATCTCTCACTTCATTCACTCTCGCTGTTCTTTTTACTCGTTTATGTCTCATCCTTAACTTACTCTTGTATCTCACCTGATTCACTCATCTCGTGTTTCAACTCATTCACTTAAACGTCTCTCACTTCAATCACTCAAAAGTCTCTCACTTCATTCACTCAAAAGTCTCTCACTTCACTCACTGAAACGTCTCTTACCTCACTCAATTAAACGTCTCTCACCTCATTCACTCAAATGTCTCTAACTTCACTCACTCAACCGTCTCTTACCTCACTCACTTCTCTCACTTCACTCACTTCTCTCTTCCCTCGTTAACTATCCTCACTTGCGTCTTAGTCTCTCCCCTCACTCACATCTCTGTATTAACTCGTAGTTTTCTTCTTCCTACACATTAAGGTTCCTATTGTTTTCTCCCTCTTTCTCTCTTTATCTCTCTTTACGTATATTTAGATTAGACCGAGGGATGGGTGTGATGAAAGGAGGGAAGGGAGGGAGGGAAGAGGAAAAAAGAGATGAGGAAAGTGGAAAGAAGAGATAGAAAGGAAGAGTAAAGATGTAGAAAGAAGAAAGGAAGAGGAGAGAGGGAAAGGAAGAAGCGAAAGAGGAGAAGTGGGATAGAGGTGTTAATAAGTTATAAAGACCACTGTATAAATAGTTCACTGTGACGTAACACCTGTAAACAAACACGAGACGCAGTGCAATGTCGGATCTTCCAGTGTGTGTGTGTGTGTGTGTGTGTGTGTGTGTGTGTGTGTGTGTGTGTGTGTGTGTGTGTGTGTGTGAAATGTATAACTTTTCTCACTCACAAGCGTCAATAAAATCGATCTTATTAACATTTCAATCTGTCTCTATCCACCTTTAAATGTATTCCCTCATCCGAAACACAATACATCAATTATACAGAGAAAGAAAATTAAAACTGAGAGAGGAAGTAGAAATACAAAACAATATCAAGGCGTTATTGTGAAATCGGAATATTCAATGAGGGTGGAGAGGTTCCCAGGAGCACTGTATGGATAGTGCTTTGTGTTACTCCATCAAGTTACTTAGAGCTGCCCATTATTAACGAGAAGTTAAGAATCCTTAATCTTGTGATTGGGGTGAAGAGGATTAATCTCATGTTTTTACCTGTAACGAGAACCCTCTTCCTCCATTGTTCTTCTTCACTGCTGAGGGCGATGTGAATTACCTTTGTCTCACTCACTGAGCTCTTTTAAACACACACACACACACACACACACTACTACTACTACTACTACTACTTTGCTGTCACTCGGAATCGAGTATGACGATCATCCAACTATGATACAATGATATGAGTTATAAGGGAAGTCACCTAGGTTAGTGAGTTATGAGTTGACTAAAGAGGCCGATACGGGACCCGCAGCGTCGTCTACATTCGTTGCACATGTGGAGGGCTCCATCTACTGTAGCA